GTGCGGGAAATCAAGGGCAGGGAGGGGAGAAGCAATGGGTGCGGGGAGAACAAGGGAGGGGCAGAGGGGGTACAAGGTGATCTCAGGGAGGGAAGAAAACGTGGGGCAGGGAGGGGAGAAACCAAAGACAGGGGCATGGGCAGGCCGGGGGCAGGGAGGGAGCAAAGGAGAGGCACGGAGAAAGAAAGGGAGGTGCAGGGAGGGGAGAAACGGGCGTGGGGGGGGCGGAAAATGAGGGCAGGGCGGGGAGGAGGGAGAGGCAGGGAGGGAGAAGTGAGCACACGGAGGGGGGAAAGGTGGGGCAGGGAGGTGGGAAGCAAGGGCAAGTGGAGGAGAGTGGGGGGGCAGGGAGAGGGGGGAGGGGGGAGCGGAGAAAGCGGCGAGGGGCAGGGAGGGAGAAACCAAGCGTAGGGGGGCGAGAAACGAGGGGCAGGGTGCGGATTGAGGAGGGGCAGGGAGTGGAGTGGGTTAGCGAGGGGAAGGAAGAGGCGTGCAGCAGAGGAGGGGAGGGGGGAGGCGAAGGTAAACGAGGGGAGGGCACGGGCGGGGAGGAGCGAATGGCGAGCGGTGGGTAACGGCGAGGGGGGCAGGGAGGGTCAAAAGAGGCGGCGAGGGAGCGGGCACGCGGAGGGTAGGGGCGGGGGGAGCGGATGGCATGAGGGGGCAGGGGGTGTGACTATGAAGGGGGGACCCGGGCAAGGGGTGTACCGGTCGGGGCACGGGATTGTCGTGGTACGATCATACCTCGGCTACTACGCCGGATCCCATCAGAACTCCGAAGCTAAGCGCCGGTGGGCGAGAGCAGTACTGGGCTGGGTGACCTCCCGGGAAGTCCTCGTGTTGTACCCATTTATGCCCCTTGCTCGGCACGTGCCGGGGAGGGGCAAGCGGGAAAACAAAGGACGATTTTAGCGCGTCCGACTTTTTATTTCCGTTTTTTTGCCCGAACAACGAGTCAGCGGGGTGGGGGGCCCCCGGGGAGGCTTGCCGCGCGAAGAAGAAACGCCCCGTGCGCACCACCGTTGGGCGGTTGGAAGCCGCACACGGTCGCGGGGGTGGAGAGCGGAAACGGGCAGCCGGGGGAGGGTGGGGGCGGTTGGACGGGAGTGGGGTGTACGGGGGGCAGGGGAGTTGAGGGGGCAAGGGGGGGGCAGCAAGGGCAGGGGCTGGGCCAGCTGAGGGCAAGGAAAAGGGGCGGGCAGAGGTGTGAGCAGAGGGCGAGCGATGCAAGGGATGCACCAGAGCGGGGGGAATCCAGTTGAACGGAGGTGAGAGGTGAGGGGCGTTGCGAGGGGGTGGAACAGGGGCAGGGAGGGGCAGAACGGGAGGATGTGGGTGGGGGGTGGGGAGGGGAGTGTGTGTGTGTGTGTGTTGTGCGAGAGAGAAAGAGAGAGAGAGAGAGAGAGAGAGGGAGAGGGGGGTGGGGGAGAAGGGTGGGAGGGGGGCTGGTGGTGGGGACGGGCTGATGGTGGTAAGAGGGCAGCAGGGATGGGGAGAAGGGAGCGTAACGAGGGGAAAGCAAAGGGCAGGGGGGGAGGAAGGGAGGGGCAGGGAGGGAAGAGGGTGAACGTACAAAGAGGGGAAACGAGGGGCATGGATGGTAGGAAACAAGGCAGGGGTGCGGGAAATCAAGGGCAGGGAGGGGAGAAGCAATGGGTGCGGGGAGAACAAGGGAGGGGCAGATGGGGGTACAAGGTGATCTCAGGGAGGAAGAAACGTGGGGCAGGGAGGGGAGAAACCAAAGACAGGGGCATGGGCAGGCGGGGGCAGGGAGGGAGCAAAGGAGAGGCACGGAGAAAGAAAGGGAGGTGCAGGGAGGGGAGAAACCGGGCGTGGGGGGGCGGAAAATGAGGGGCAGGGCGGGGAGGAGGGAGAGGCAGGGAGGGGAGAAGCTGAGCACACGGAGGGGGAAAGGTGGGGCAGGGAGGTGGGAAGCCAAGGCAAGTGGAGGAGAGTGGGGGGGCAGGGAGAGGGGGAGGTGGGGAGCGGAGAAAGGCGGCGAGGGGCAGGGAGGGGAGAAACAAGCGTAGGGGGGCGAGAAACGAGGGGCAGGGTGCGGATTGAGGAGGGGCAGGGAGTGGAGTGGGTTAGCGAGGGGAAGGAAGAGGCGTGCAGCAGAGGAGGGGAGGGGGGAGGCGAAGGTAAACGAGGGGAGGGCACGGGCGGGGAGGAGCGAATGGCGAGCGGTGGGTAACGGCCTGAGGGGGGCAGGGAGGGTCAAAAGAGGCGGCGAGGGAGCGGGCACGCGGAGGGTAGGGGCGGGGGGAGCGGATGGCATGAGGGGGCAGGGGGTGTGACTATGAAGGGGGGGACCCGGGCAAGGGGTGTGTACCCGGTCGGGGCACGGGATTGTCGTGGTACGATCATACCTCGGCTACTACGCCGGATCCCATCAGAACTCCGAAGCTAAGCGCCGGTGGGCGAGAGCAGTACTGGGCTGGGTGACCTCCCGGGAAGTCCTCGTGTTGTACCCATTTATGCCCCTTGCTCGGCACGTGCCGGGGAGGGGCAAGCGGGAAAAACAAAGGACGATTTTAGCGCGTCCCGACTTTTTTATTTCCGTTTTTTTTTGCCCCGAACAACGAAGTCAGCGGGGTGGGGGGCCCCCGGGGAGGCTTGCCCGCGCGAAGAAACGCCCCGTGCGCACCACCGTTGGGCGGTTGGAAGCCGCACACGGTCGCGGGGGTGGAGAGCGGAAACGGGCAGCCGGGGAGGGTGGGGGCGGTTGGACGGGAGTGGGGTGTACGGGGGGCAGGGGAGTTGAGGGGGCAAGGGGAGGGGCAGCAACGGGCAGGGGCTGGGCCAGCTGAGGGCAAGGAAAAGGGGCGGGCAGAGGGTGAGCAGAGGGGCGAGCGATGCAAGGGATGCACCAGACGGGGGGGAATCCAGTTGAACGGAGGTGAGAGGTGAGGGGCGTGCGAGGGGGTGGAACAGGGGCAGGGAGGGGCAGAACGGGAGGATGTGGGTGGGGGGTGGGGGAGGGGAGTGTGTGTGTGTGTGTGTGTGCGAGAGAAAGAGAGAGAGAGAGAGAGAGAGAGAGGGAGAGGGGGGGGGGGAGAAGGGTGGGAGGGGGGCTGGTGGTGGGGACGGGCTGATGGTGGTAAGAGGGCAGCAGGGATGGGGAGAAGGGAGCGTAACGAGGGGAAAGCAAAGGGCAGGGGGGGAGGAAGGGAGGGGCAGGGAGGGAAGAGGGTGAACGTACAAAGAGGGGAAACGAGGGGCATGGATGGTAGGAAACAAGGGCAGGGGTGCGGGAAATCAAGGGCAGGGAGGGGAGAAGCAATGGGTGCGGGGAGAACAAGGGAGGGGCAGAGGGGGTACAAGGTGATCTCAGGGAGGGAAGAAACGTGGGGCAGGGAGGGGAGAAACCAAAGACAGGGGCATGGGCAGGCGGGGGCAGGGAGGGAGCAAAGGAGAGGCACGGAGAAAGAAAGGGAGGTGCAGGGAGGGGAGAAACCGGGCGTGGGGGGGCGGAAAATGAGGGGCAGGGCGGGGAGGAGGGAGAGGCAGGGAGGGGAGAAGCTGAGCACACGGAGGGGGGAAAGGTGGGGCAGGGAGGTGGGAAGCCAAGGGCAAGTGGAGGAGAGTGGGGGGGCAGGGAGAGGGGGGAGGTGGGGAGCGGAGAAAGGCGGCGAGGGGCAGGGAGGGGAGAAACCAAGCGTAGGGGGGCGAGAAACGAGGGGCAGGGTGCGGATTGAGGAGGGGCAGGGAGTGGAGTGGGTTAGCGAGGGGAAGGAAGAGGCGTGCAGCAGAGGAGGGGAGGGGGGAGGCGAAGGTAAACGAGGGGAGGGCACGGGCGGGGAGGAGCGAATGGCGAGCGGTGGGTAACGGCGAGGGGGGCAGGGAGGGTCAAAAGAGGCGGCGAGGGAGCGGGCACGCGGAGGGTAGGGGCGGGGGGAGCGGATGGCATGAGGGGGCAGGGGGTGTGACTATGAAGGGGGACCCGGGCAAGGGGTGTGTACCGGTCGGGGCACGGGATTGTCGTGGTACGATCATACCTCGGCTACTACGCCGGATCCCATCAGAACTCCGAAGCTAAGCGCCGGTGGGCGAGAGCAGTACTGGGCTGGGTGACCTCCCGGGAAGTCCTCGTGTTGTACCCATTTATGCCCCTTGCTCGGCACGTGCCGGGGAGGGGCAAGCGGGAAAAACAAAGGACGATTTTAGCGCGTCCGACTTTTTTATTTCCGTTTTTTTTTTGCCCGAACAACGAGGTCAGCGGGGTGGGGGGCCCCCGGGGAGGCTTGCCCGCGCGAAGAAACGCCCCGTGCGCACCACCGTTGGGCGGTTGGAAGCCGCACACGGTCGCGGGGGTGGAGAGCGGAAACGGGCAGCCGGGGGAGGGTGGGGGCGGTTGGACGGGAGTGGGGTGTACGGGGGGCAGGGGAGTTGAGGGGGCAAGGGGAGGGGCAGCAACGGGCAGGGGCTGGGCCAGCTGAGGGCAAGGAAAAGGGGCGGGCAGAGGGTGAGCAGAGGGGCGAGCGATGCAAGGGATGCACCAGAGGGGGGGAATCCAGTTGAACGGAGGTGAGAGGTGAGGGGCGTGCGAGGGGGTGGAACAGGGGCAGGGAGGGGCAGAACGGGAGGATGTGGGTGGGGGGTGGGGGAGGGGAGTGTGTGTGTGTGTGTGTGTGCGAGAGAAAGAGAGAGAGAGAGAGAGAGAGTGAGAGAGATAGAGAGAGAGAGAGAGAGAGGGAGAGGGGGGGGGGGAGAAGGGTGGGAGGGGGGCTGGTGGTGGGGACGGGCTGATGGTGGTAAGAGGGCAGCAGGGATGGGGAGAAGGGAGCGTAACGAGGGGAAAGCAAAGGGCAGGGGGGGAGAAACCAAGCATAGGGGGGCGAGAAACGAGGGGCAGGGTGCGGATTGAGGAGGGGCAGGGAGTGGAGTGGGTTAGCGAGGGGAAGGAAGAGGCGTGCAGCAGAGGAGGGGAGGGGGGAGGCGAAGGTAAACGAGGGGAGGGCACGGGCGGGGAGGAGCGAATGGCGAGCGGTGGGTAACGGCCTGAGGGGGGCAGGGAGGGTCAAAAGAGGCGGCGAGGGAGCGGGCACGCGGAGGGTAGGGGCGGGGGGAGCGGATGGCATGAGGGGGCAGGGGGTGTGACTATGAAGGGGGGACCCGGGCAAGGGGTGTGTACCGGTCGGGGCACGGGATTGTCGTGGTACGATCATACCTCGGCTACTACGCCGGATCCCATCAGAACTCCGAAGCTAAGCGCCGGTGGGCGAGAGCAGTACTGGGCTGGGTGACCTCCCGGGAAGTCCTCGTGTTGTACCCATTTATGCCCCTTGCTCGGCACGTGCCGGGGAGGGGCAAGCGGGAAAAACAAAGGACGATTTTAGCGCGTCCGACTTTTTTATTTCCGTTTTTTTTGCCCCCGAACAACGAGTCAGCGGGGTGGGGGGCCCCCGGGGAGGCTTGCCCGCGGAAAGAAACGCCCCGTGCGCACCACCGTTGGGCGGTTGGAAGCCGCACACGGTCGCGGGGGTGGAGAGCGGAAACGGGCAGCCGGGGGAGGGTGGGGGCGGTTGGACGGGAGTGGGGTGTACGGGGGGCAGGGGAGTTGAGGGGGCAAGGGGAGGGGCAGCAACGGGCAGGGGCTGGGCCAGCTGAGGGCAAGGAAAAGGGGCGGGCAGAGGGTGAGCAGAGGGGCGAGCGATGCAAGGGATGCACCAGAGGGGGGGAATCCAGTTGAACGGAGGTGAGAGGTGAGGGGCGTGCGAGGGGGTGGAACAGGGGCAGGGAGGGGCAGAACGGGAGGATGTGGGTGGGGGGTGGGGGAGGGGAGTGTGTGTGTGTGTGTGTGTGCGAGAGAAAGAGAGAGAGAGAGAGAGAGAGAGAGGGAGAGGGGGGGGGGGGAGAAGGGTGGGAGGGGGGCTGGTGGTGGGGACGGGCTGATGGTGGTAAGAGGGCAGCAGGGATGGGGAGAAGGGAGCGTAACGAGGGGAAAGCAAAGGGCAGGGGGGGAGGAAGGGAGGGGCAGGGAGGGAAGAGGGTGAACGTACAAAGAGGGGAAACGAGGGGCATGGATGGTAGGAAACAAGGGCAGGGGTGCGGGAAATCAAGGGCAGGGAGGGGAGAAGCAATGGGTGCGGGGAGAACAAGGGAGGGGCAGAGGGGGTACAAGGTGATCTCAGGGAGGGAAGAAACGTGGGGCAGGGAGGGGAGAAACCAAAGACAGGGGCATGGGCAGGCGGGGGCAGGGAGGGAGCAAAGGAGAGGCACGGAGAAAGAAAGGGAGGTGCAGGGAGGGGAGAAACCGGGCGTGGGGGGGCGGAAAATGAGGGGCAGGGCGGGGAGGAGGGAGAGGCAGGGAGGGGAGAAGCTGAGCACACGGAGGGGGGAAAGGTGGGGCAGGGAGGTGGGAAGCCAAGGGCAAGTGGAGGAGAGTGGGGGGGCAGGGAGAGGGGGAGGTGGGGAGCGGAGAAAGGCGGCGAGGGGCAGGGAGGGGAGAAACCAAGCGTAGGGGGGCGAGAGAAACGAGGGGCAGGGTGCGGATTGAGGAGGGGCAGGGAGTGGAGTGGGTTAGCGAGGGGAAGGAAGAGGCGTGCAGCAGAGGAGGGGAGGGGGGAGGCGAAGGTAAACGAGGGGAGGGCACGGGCGGGGAGGAGCGAATGGCGAGCGGTGGGTAACGGCGAGGGGGGCAGGGAGGGTCAAAAGAGGCGGCGAGGGAGCGGGCACGCGGAGGGTAGGGGCGGGGGGAGCGGATGGCATGAGGGGGCAGGGGGTGTGACTATGAAGGGGGGACCCGAGGCAAGGGGTGTGTACCGGTCGGGGCACGGGATTGTCGTGGTACGATCATACCTCGGCTACTACGCCGGATCCCATCAGAACTCCGAAGCTAATCGCCGGTGGGCGAGAGCAGTACTGGGCTGGGTGACCTCCCGGGAAGTCCTCGTGTTGTACCCATTTATGCCCCTTGCTCGGCACGTGCCGGGGAGGGGCAAGCGGGAAAAACGAAAGGACGATTTTAGCGCGTCCGACTTTTTTATTTCCGTTTTTTTTGCCCGAACAACGAGTCAGCGGGGTGGGGGGCCCCCGGGGAGGCTTGCCCGCGCGAAGAAACGCCCCGTGCGCACCACCGTTGGGCGGTTGGAAGCCGCACACGGTCGCGGGGGTGGAGAGCGGAAACGGGCAGCCGGGGGAGGGTGGGGGCGGTTGGACGGGAGTGGGGTGTACGGGGGGCAGGGGAGTTGAGGGGGCAAGGGGAGGGGCAGCAACGGGCAGGGGCTGGGCCAGCTGAGGGCAAGGAAAAGGGGCGGGCAGAGGGTGAGCAGAGGGGCGAGCGATGCAAGGGATGCACCAGAGGGGGGGAATCCAGTTGAACGGAGGTGAGAGGTGAGGGGCGTGCGAGGGGGTGGAACAGGGGCAGGGAGGGGCAGAACGGGAGGATGTGGGTGGGGGGTGGGGGAGGGGAGTGTGTGTGTGTGTGTGTGTGCGAGAGAAAGAGAGAGAGAGAGAGAGAGAGAGGGAGAGGGGGGGGGGGGAGAAGGGTGGGAGGGGGGCTGGTGGTGGGGACGGGCTGATGGTGGTAAGAGGGCAGCAGGGATGGGGAGAAGGGAGCGTAACGAGGGGAAAGCAAAGGGCAGGGGGGGAGGAAGGGAGGGGCAGGGAGGGAAGAGGGTGAACGTACAAAGAGGGGAAACGAGGGGCATGGATGGTAGGAAACAAGGGCAGGGGTGCGGGAAATCAAGGGCAGGGAGGGGAGAAGCAATGGGTGCGGGGAGAACAAGGGAGGGGCAGAGGGGGTACAAGGTGATCTCAGGGAGGGAAGAAACGTGGGGCAGGGAGGGGAGAAACCAAAGACAGGGGCATGGGCAGGCGGGGGCAGGGAGGGAGCAAAGGAGAGGCACGGAGAAAGAAAGGGAGGTGCAGGGAGGGGAGAAACCGGGCGTGGGGGGGCGGAAAATGAGGGGCAGGGCGGGGAGGAGGGAGAGGCAGGGAGGGGAGAAGCTGAGCACACGGAGGGGGGAAAGGTGGGGCAGGGAGGTGGGAAGCCAAGGGCAAGTGGAGGAGAGTGGGGGGGCAGGGAGAGGGGGGAGGTGGGGAGCGGAGAAAGGCGGCGAGGGGCAGGGAGGGGAGAAACCAAGCGTAGGGGGGCGAGAAACGAGGGGCAGGGTGCGGATTGAGGAGGGGCAGGGAGTGGAGTGGGTTAGCGAGGGGAAGGAAGAGGCGTGCAGCAGAGGAGGGGAGGGGGGAGGCGAAGGTAAACGAGGGGAGGGCACGGGCGGGGAGGAGCGAATGGCGAGCGGTGGGTAACGGCGAGGGGGGCAGGGAGGGTCAAAAGAGGCGGCGAGGGAGCGGGCACGCGGAGGGTAGGGGCGGGGGGAGCGGATGGCATGAGGGGGCAGGGGGTGTGACTATGAAGGGGGGACCCGGGCAAGGGGTGTGTACCGGTCGGGGCACGGGATTGTCGTGGTACGATCATACCTCGGCTACTACGCCGGATCCCATCAGAACTCCGAAGCTAAGCGCCGGTGGGCGAGAGCAGTACTGGGCTGGGTGACCTCCCGGGAAGTCCTCGTGTTGTACCCATTTATGCCCCTTGCTCGGCACGTGCCGGGGAGGGGCAAGCGGGAAAAACAAAGGACGATTTTAGCGCGTCCGACTTTTTTATTTCCGTTTTTTTGCCCGAACAACGAGTCAGCGGGGTGGGGGGCCCCCGGGGAGGCTTGCCCGCGCGAAGAAACGCCCCGTGCGCACCACCGTTGGGCGGTTGGAAGCCGCACACGGTCGCGGGGGTGGAGAGCGGAAACGGGCAGCCGGGGGAGGGTGGGGGCGGTTGGACGGGAGTGGGGTGTACGGGGGGCAGGGGAGTTGAGGGGGCAAGGGGAGGGGCAGCAACGGGCAGGGGCTGGGCCAGCTGAGGGCAAGGAAAAGGGGCGGGCAGAGGGTGAGCAGAGGGGCGAGCGATGCAAGGGATGCACCAGAGGGGGGGAATCCAGTTGAACGGAGGTGAGAGGTGAGGGGCGTGCGAGGGGGTGGAACAGGGGCAGGGAGGGGCAGAACGGGAGGATGTGGGTGGGGGGTGGGGGAGGGGAGTGTGTGTGTGTGTGTGTGTGCGAGAGAAAGAGAGAGAGAGAGAGAGAGAGTGAGAGAGATAGAGAGAGAGAGAGAGAGAGGGAGAGGGGGGGGGGGAGAAGGGTGGGAGGGGGGCTGGTGGTGGGGACGGGCTGATGGTGGTAAGAGGGCAGCAGGGATGGGGAGAAGGGAGCGTAACGAGGGGAAAGCAAAGGGCAGGGGGGGAGAAACCAAGCATAGGGGGGCGAGAAACGAGGGGCAGGGTGCGGATTGAGGAGGGGCAGGGAGTGGAGTGGGTTAGCGAGGGGAAGGAAGAGGCGTGCAGCAGAGGAGGGGAGGGGGGAGGCGAAGGTAAACGAGGGGAGGGCACGGGCGGGGAGGAGCGAATGGCGAGCGGTGGGTAACGGCGAGGGGGGCAGGGAGGGTCAAAAGAGGCGGCGAGGGAGCGGGCACGCGGAGGGTAGGGGCGGGGGGAGCGGATGGCATGAGGGGGCAGGGGGTGTGACTATGAAGGGGGGACCCGGGCAAGGGGTGTGTACCGGTCGGGGCACGGGATTGTCGTGGTACGATCATACCTCGGCTACTACGCCGGATCCCATCAGAACTCCGAAGCTAAGCGCCGGTGGGCGAGAGCAGTACTGGGCTGGGTGACCTCCCGGGAAGTCCTCGTGTTGTACCCATTTATGCCCCTTGCTCGGCACGTGCCGGGGAGGGGCAAGCGGGAAAAACAAAGGACGATTTTAGCGCGTCCGACTTTTTTATTTCCGTTTTTTTTGCCCGAACAACGAGTCAGCGGGGTGGGGGGCCCCCGGGGAGGCTTGCCCGCGCGAAGAAACGCCCCGTGCGCACCACCGTTGGGCGGTTGGAAGCCGCACACGGTCGCGGGGGTGGAGAGCGGAAACGGGCAGCCGGGGGAGGGTGGGGGCGGTTGGACGGGAGTGGGGTGTACGGGGGGCAGGGGAGTTGAGGGGGCAAGGGGAGGGGCAGCAACGGGCAGGGGCTGGGCCAGCTGAGGGCAAGGAAAAGGGGCGGGCAGAGGGTGAGCAGAGGGGCGAGCGATGCAAGGGATGCACCAGAGGGGGGGAATCCAGTTGAACGGAGGTGAGAGGTGAGGGGCGTGCGAGGGGGTGGAACAGGGGCAGGGAGGGGCAGAACGGGAGGATGTGGGTGGGGGGTGGGGGAGGGGAGTGTGTGTGTGTGTGTGTGTGCGAGAGAAAGAGAGAGAGAGAGAGAGAGAGAGGGAGAGGGGGGGGGGGAGAAGGGTGGGAGGGGGGCTGGTGGTGGGGACGGGCTGATGGTGGTAAGAGGGCAGCAGGGATGGGGAGAAGGGAGCGTAACGAGGGGAAAGCAAAGGGCAGGGGGGGAGGAAGGGAGGGGCAGGGAGGGAAGAGGGTGAACGTACAAAGAGGGGAAACGAGGGGCATGGATGGTAGGAAACAAGGGCAGGGGTGCGGGAAATCAAGGGCAGGGAGGGGAGAAGCAATGGGTGCGGGGAGAACAAGGGAGGGGCAGAGGGGGTACAAGGTGATCTCAGGGAGGGAAGAAACGTGGGGCAGGGAGGGGAGAAACCAAAGACAGGGGCATGGGCAGGCGGGGGCAGGGAGGGAGCAAAGGAGAGGCACGGAGAAAGAAAGGGAGGTGCAGGGAGGGGAGAAACCGGGCGTGGGGGGGCGGAAAATGAGGGGCAGGGCGGGGAGGAGGGAGAGGCAGGGAGGGGAGAAGCTGAGCACACGGAGGGGGGAAAGGTGGGGCAGGGAGGTGGGAAGCCAAGGGCAAGTGGAGGAGAGTGGGGGGGCAGGGAGAGGGGGGAGGTGGGGAGCGGAGAAAGGCGGCGAGGGGCAGGGAGGGGAGAAACCAAGCGTAGGGGGGCGAGAAACGAGGGGCAGGGTGCGGATTGAGGAGGGGCAGGGAGTGGAGTGGGTTAGCGAGGGGAAGGAAGAGGCGTGCAGCAGAGGAGGGGAGGGGGGAGGCGAAGGTAAACGAGGGGAGGGCACGGGCGGGGAGGAGCGAATGGCGAGCGGTGGGTAACGGCGAGGGGGGCAGGGAGGGTCAAAAGAGGCGGCGAGGGAGCGGGCACGCGGAGGGTAGGGGCGGGGGGAGCGGATGGCATGAGGGGGCAGGGGGTGTGACTATGAAGGGGGGACCCGGGCAAGGGGTGTGTACCGGTCGGGGCACGGGATTGTCGTGGTACGATCATACCTCGGCTACTACGCCGGATCCCATCAGAACTCCGAAGCTAAGCGCCGGTGGGCGAGAGCAGTACTGGGCTGGGTGACCTCCCGGGAAGTCCTCGTGTTGTACCCATTTATGCCCCTTGCTCGGCACGTGCCGGGGAGGGGCAAGCGGGAAAAACAAAGGACGATTTTAGCGCGTCCGACTTTTTTATTTCCGTTTTTTTGCCCGAACAACGAGTCAGCGGGGTGGGGGGCCCCCGGGGAGGCTTGCCCGCGCGAAGAAACGCCCCGTGCGCACCACCGTTGGGCGGTTGGAAGCCGCACACGGTCGCGGGGGTGGAGAGCGGAAACGGGCAGCCGGGGGAGGGTGGGGGCGGTTGGACGGGAGTGGGGTGTACGGGGGGGCAGGGGAGTTGAGGGGGCAAGGGGAGGGGCAGCAACGGGCAGGGGCTGGGCCAGCTGAGGGCAAGGAAAAGGGGCGGGCAGAGGGTGAGCAGAGGGGCGAGCGATGCAAGGGATGCACCAGAGGGGGGGAATCCAGTTGAACGGAGGTGAGAGGTGAGGGGCGTGCGAGGGGGTGGAACAGGGGCAGGGAGGGGCAGAACGGGAGGATGTGGGTGGGGGGTGGGGGAGGGGAGTGTGTGTGTGTGTGTGTGTGCGAGAGAAAGAGAGAGAGAGAGAGAGAGAGAGAGGGAGAGGGGGGGGGGGGAGAAGGGTGGGAGGGGGGCTGGTGGTGGGGACGGGCTGATGGTGGTAAGAGGGCAGCAGGGATGGGGAGAAGGGAGCGTAACGAGGGGAAAGCAAAGGGCAGGGGGGGAGGAAGGGAGGGGCAGGGAGGGAAGAGGGTGAACGTACAAAGAGGGGAAACGAGGGGCATGGATGGTAGGAAACAAGGGCAGGGGTGCGGGAAATCAAGGGCAGGGAGGGGAGAAGCAATGGGTGCGGGGAGAACAAGGGAGGGGCAGAGGGGGTACAAGGTGATCTCAGGGAGGGAAGAAACGTGGGGCAGGGAGGGGAGAAACCAAAGACAGGGGCATGGGCAGGCGGGGGCAGGGAGGGAGCAAAGGAGAGGCACGGAGAAAGAAAGGGAGGTGCAGGGAGGGGAGAAACCGGGCGTGGGGGGGCGGAAAATGAGGGGCAGGGCGGGGAGGAGGGAGAGGCAGGGAGGGGAGAAGCTGAGCACACGGAGGGGGGAAAGGTGGGGCAGGGAGGTGGGAAGCCAAGGGCAAGTGGAGGAGAGTGGGGGGGCAGGGAGAGGGGGGAGGTGGGGAGCGGAGAAAGGCGGCGAGGGGCAGGGAGGGGAGAAACCAAGCGTAGGGGGGCGAGAAACGAGGGGCAGGGTGCGGATTGAGGAGGGGCAGGGAGTGGAGTGGGTTAGCGAGGGGAAGGAAGAGGCGTGCAGCAGAGGAGGGGAGGGGGGAGGCGAAGGTAAACGAGGGGAGGGCACGGGCGGGGAGGAGCGAATGGCGAGCGGTGGGTAACGGCGAGGGGGGCAGGGAGGGTCAAAAGAGGCGGCGAGGGAGCGGGCACGCGGAGGGTAGGGGCGGGGGGAGCGGATGGCATGAGGGGGCAGGGGGTGTGACTATGAAGGGGGGACCCGGGCAAGGGGTGTGTACCGGTCGGGGCACGGGATTGTCGTGGTACGATCATACCTCGGCTACTACGCCGGATCCCATCAGAACTCCGAAGCTAAGCGCCGGTGGGCGAGAGCAGTACTGGGCTGGGTGACCTCCCGGGAAGTCCTCGTGTTGTACCCATTTATGCCCCTTGCTCGGCACGTGCCGGGGAGGGGCAAGCGGGAAAAACAAAGGACGATTTTAGCGCGTCCGACTTTTTTATTTCCGTTTTTTTTGCCCGAACAACGAGTCAGCGGGGTGGGGGGCCCCCGGGGAGGCTTGCCCGCGCGAAGAAACGCCCCGTGCGCACCACCGTTGGGCGGTTGGAAGCCGCACACGGTCGCGGGGGTGGAGAGCGGAAACGGGCAGCCGGGGGAGGGTGGGGGCGGTTGGACGGGAGTGGGGTGTACGGGGGGCAGGGGAGTTGAGGGGGCAAGGGGAGGGGCAGCAACGGGCAGGGGCTGGGCCAGCTGAGGGCAAGGAAAAGGGGCGGGCAGAGGGTGAGCAGAGGGGCGAGCGATGCAAGGGATGCACCAGAGGGGGGGAATCCAGTTGAACGGAGGTGAGAGGTGAGGGGCGTGCGAGGGGGTGGAACAGGGGCAGGGAGGGGCAGAACGGGAGGATGTGGGTGGGGGGTGGGGGAGGGGAGTGTGTGTGTGTGTGTGTGTGCGAGAGAAAGAGAGAGAGAGAGAGAGAGAGAGGGAGAGGGGGGGGGGGAGAAGGGTGGGAGGGGGGCTGGTGGTGGGGACGGGCTGATGGTGGTAAGAGGGCAGCAGGGATGGGGAGAAGGGAGCGTAACGAGGGGAAAGCAAAGGGCAGGGGGGGAGGAAGGGAGGGGCAGGGAGGGAAGAGGGTGAACGTACAAAGAGGGGAAACGAGGGGCATGGATGGTAGGAAACAAGGGCAGGGGTGCGGGAAATCAAGGGCAGGGAGGGGAGAAGCAATGGGTGCGGGGAGAACAAGGGAGGGGCAGAGGGGGTACAAGGTGATCTCAGGGAGGGAAGAAACGTGGGGCAGGGAGGGGAGAAACCAAAGACAGGGGCATGGGCAGGCGGGGGCAGGGAGGGAGCAAAGGAGAGGCACGGAGAAAGAAAGGGAGGTGCAGGGAGGGGAGAAACCGGGCGTGGGGGGGCGGAAAATGAGGGGCAGGGCGGGGAGGAGGGAGAGGCAGGGAGGGGAGAAGCTGAGCACACGGAGGGGGGAAAGGTGGGGCAGGGAGGTGGGAAGCCAAGGGCAAGTGGAGGAGAGTGGGGGGGCAGGGAGAGGGGGGAGGTGGGGAGCGGAGAAAGGCGGCGAGGGGCAGGGAGGGGAGAAACCAAGCGTAGGGGGGCGAGAAACGAGGGGCAGGGTGCGGATTGAGGAGGGGCAGGGAGTGGAGTGGGTTAGCGAGGGGAAGGAAGAGGCGTGCAGCAGAGGAGGGGAGGGGGGAGGCGAAGGTAAACGAGGGGAGGGCACGGGCGGGGAGGAGCGAATGGCGAGCGGTGGGTAACGGCGAGGGGGGCAGGGAGGGTCAAAAGAGGCGGCGAGGGAGCGGGCACGCGGAGGGTAGGGGCGGGGGGAGCGGATGGCATGAGGGGGCAGGGGGTGTGACTATGAAGGGGGGACCCGGGCAAGGGGTGTGTACCGGTCGGGGCACGGGATTGTCGTGGTACGATCATACCTCGGCTACTACGCCGGATCCCATCAGAACTCCGAAGCTAAGCGCCGGTGGGCGAGAGCAGTACTGGGCTGGGTGACCTCCCGGGAAGTCCTCGTGTTGTACCCATTTATGCCCCTTGCTCGGCACGTGCCGGGGAGGGGCAAGCGGGAAAAACAAAGGACGATTTTAGCGCGTCCGACTTTTTTATTTCCGTTTTTTTTGCCCGAACAACGAGTCAGCGGGGTGGGGGGCCCCCGGGGAGGCTTGCCCGCGCGAAGAAACGCCCCGTGCGCACCACCGTTGGGCGGTTGGAAGCCGCACACGGTCGCGGGGGTGGAGAGCGGAAACGGGCAGCCGGGGGAGGGTGGGGGCGGTTGGACGGGAGTGGGGTGTACGGGGGGCAGGGGAGTTGAGGGGGCAAGGGGAGGGGCAGCAACGGGCAGGGGCTGGGCCAGCTGAGGGCAAGGAAAAGGGGCGGGCAGAGGGTGAGCAGAGGGGCGAGCGATGCAAGGGATGCACCAGAGGGGGGGAATCCAGTTGAACGGAGGTGAGAGGTGAGGGGCGTGCGAGGGGGTGGAACAGGGGCAGGGAGGGGCAGAACGGGAGGATGTGGGTGGGGGGTGGGGGAGGGGAGTGTGTGTGTGTGTGTGTGTGCGAGAGAAAGAGAGAGAGAGAGAGAGAGAGTGAGAGAGATAGAGAGAGAGAGAGAGAGAGGGAGAGGGGGGGGGGGAGAAGGGTGGGAGGGGGGCTGGTGGTGGGGACGGGCTGATGGTGGTAAGAGGGCAGCAGGGATGGGGAGAAGGGAGCGTAACGAGGGGAAAGCAAAGGGCAGGGGGGGAGAAACCAAGCATAGGGGGGCGAGAAACGAGGGGCAGGGTGCGGATTGAGGAGGGGCAGGGAGTGGAGTGGGTTAGCGAGGGGAAGGAAGAGGCGTGCAGCAGAGGAGGGGAGGGGGGAGGCGAAGGTAAACGAGGGGAGGGCACGGGCGGGGAGGAGCGAATGGCGAGCGGTGGGTAACGGCGAGGGGGGCAGGGAGGGTCAAAAGAGGCGGCGAGGGAGCGGGCACGCGGAGGGTAGGGGCGGGGGGAGCGGATGGCATGAGGGGGCAGGGGGTGTGACTATGAAGGGGGGACCCGGGCAAGGGGTGTGTACCGGTCGGGGCACGGGATTGTCGTGGTACGATCATACCTCGGCTACTACGCCGGATCCCATCAGAACTCCGAAGCTAAGCGCCGGTGGGCGAGAGCAGTACTGGGCTGGGTGACCTCCCGGGAAGTCCTCGTGTTGTACCCATTTATGCCCCTTGCTCGGCACGTGCCGGGGAGGGGCAAGCGGGAAAAACAAAGGACGATTTTAGCGCGTCCGACTTTTTTATTTCCGTTTTTTTTGCCCGAACAACGAGTCAGCGGGGTGGGGGGCCCCCGGGGAGGCTTGCCCGCGCGAAGAAACGCCCCGTGCGCACCACCGTTGGGCGGTTGGAAGCCGCACACGGTCGCGGGGGTGGAGAGCGGAAACGGGCAGCCGGGGGAGGGTGGGGGCGGTTGGACGGGAGTGGGGTGTACGGGGGGCAGGGGAGTTGAGGGGGCAAGGGGAGGGGCAGCAACGGGCAGGGGCTGGGCCAGCTGAGGGCAAGGAAAAGGGGCGGGCAGAGGGTGAGCAGAGGGGCGAGCGATGCAAGGGATGCACCAGAGGGGGGGAATCCAGTTGAACGGAGGTGAGAGGTGAGGGGCGTGCGAGGGGGTGGAACAGGGGCAGGGAGGGGCAGAACGGGAGGATGTGGGTGGGGGGTGGGGGAGGGGAGTGTGTGTGTGTGTGTGTGTGCGAGAGAAAGAGAGAGAGAGAGAGAGAGAGAGGGAGAGGGGGGGGGGGAGAAGGGTGGGAGGGGGGCTGGTGGTGGGGACGGGCTGATGGTGGTAAGAGGGCAGCAGGGATGGGGAGAAGGGAGCGTAACGAGGGGAAAGCAAAGGGCAGGGGGGGAGGAAGGGAGGGGCAGGGAGGGAAGAGGGTGAACGTACAAAGAGGGGAAACGAGGGGCATGGATGGTAGGAAACAAGGGCAGGGGTGCGGGAAATCAAGGGCAGGGAGGGGAGAAGCAATGGGTGCGGGGAGAACAAGGGAGGGGCAGAGGGGGTACAAGGTGATCTCAGGGAGGGAAGAAACGTGGGGCAGGGAGGGGAGAAACCAAAGACAGGGGCATGGGCAGGCGGGGGCAGGGAGGGAGCAAAGGAGAGGCACGGAGAAAGAAAGGGAGGTGCAGGGAGGGGAGAAACCGGGCGTGGGGGGGCGGAAAATGAGGGGCAGGGCGGGGAGGAGGGAGAGGCAGGGAGGGGAGAAGCTGAGCACACGGAGGGGGGAAAGGTGGGGCAGGGAGGTGGGAAGCCAAGGGCAAGTGGAGGAGAGTGGGGGGGCAGGGAGAGGGGGGAGGTGGGGAGCGGAGAAAGGCGGCGAGGGGCAGGGAGGGGAGAAACCAAGCGTAGGGGGGCGAGAAACGAGGGGCAGGGTGCGGATTGAGGAGGGGCAGGGAGTGGAGTGGGTTAGCGAGGGGAAGGAAGAGGCGTGCAGCAGAGGAGGGGAGGGGGGAGGCGAAGGTAAACGAGGGGAGGGCACGGGCGGGGAGGAGCGAATGGCGAGCGGTGGGTAACGGCGAGGGGGGCAGGGAGGGTCAAAAGAGGCGGCGAGGGAGCGGGCACGCGGAGGGTAGGGGCGGGGGGAGCGGATGGCATGAGGGGGCAGGGGGTGTGACTATGAAGGGGGGACCCGGGCAAGGGGTGTGTACCGGTCGGGGCACGGGATTGTCGTGGTACGATCATACCTCGGCTACTACGCCGGATCCCATCAGAACTCCGAAGCTAAGCGCCGGTGGGCGAGAGCAGTACTGGGCTGGGTGACCTCCCGGGAAGTCCTCGTGTTGTACCCATTTATGCCCCTTGCTCGGCACGTGCCGGGGAGGGGCAAGCGGGAAAAACAAAGGACGATTTTAGCGCGTCCGACTTTTTTATTTCCGTTTTTTTGCCCGAACAACGAGTCAGCGGGGTGGGGGGCCCCCGGGGAGGCTTGCCCGCGCGAAGAAACGCCCCGTGCGCACCACCGTTGGGCGGTTGGAAGCCGCACACGGTCGCGGGGGTGGAGAGCGGAAACGGGCAGCCGGGGGAGGGTGGGGGCGGTTGGACGGGAGTGGGGTGTACGGGGGGCAGGGGAGTTGAGGGGGCAAGGGGAGGGGCAGCAACGGGCAGGGGCTGGGCCAGCTGAGGGCAAGGAAAAGGGGCGGGCAGAGGGTGAGCAGAGGGGCGAGCGATGCAAGGGATGCACCAGAGGGGGGGAATCCAGTTGAACGGAGGTGAGAGGTGAGGGGCGTGCGAGGGGGTGGAACAGGGGCAGGGAGGGGCAGAACGGGAGGATGTGGGTGGGGGGTGGGGGAGGGGAGTGTGTGTGTGTGTGTGTGTGCGAGAGAAAGAGAGAGAGAGAGAGAGAGAGAGGGAGAGGGGGGGGGGGGAGAAGGGTGGGAGGGGGGCTGGTGGTGGGGACGGGCTGATGGTGGTAAGAGGGCAGCAGGGATGGGGAGAAGGGAGCGTAACGAGGGGAAAGCAAAGGGCAGGGGGGGAGGAAGGGAGGGGCAGGGAGGGAAGAGGGTGAACGTACAAAGAGGGGAAACGAGGGGCATGGATGGTAGGAAACAAGGGCAGGGGTGCGGGAAATCAAGGGCAGGGAGGGGAGAAGCAATGGGTGCGGGGAGAACAAGGGAGGGGCAGAGGGGGTACAAGGTGATCTCAGGGAGGGAAGAAACGTGGGGCAGGGAGGGGAGAAACCAAAGACAGGGGCATGGGCAGGCGGGGGCAGGGAGGGAGCAAAGGAGAGGCACGGAGAAAGAAAGGGAGGTGCAGGGAGGGGAGAAACCGGGCGTGGGGGGGCGGAAAATGAGGGGCAGGGCGGGGAGGAGGGAGAGGCAGGGAGGGGAGAAGCTGAGCACACGGAGGGGGGAAAGGTGGGGCAGGGAGGTGGGAAGCCAAGGGCAAGTGGAGGAGAGTGGGGGGGCAGGGAGAGGGGGGAGGTGGGGAGCGGAGAAAGGCGGCGAGGGGCAGGGAGGGGAGAAACCAAGCGTAGGGGGGCGAGAAACGAGGGGCAGGGTGCGGATTGAGGAGGGGCAGGGAGTGGAGTGGGTTAGCGAGGGGAAGGAAGAGGCGTGCAGCAGAGGAGGGGAGGGGGGAGGCGAAGGTAAACGAGGGGAGGGCACGGGCGGGGAGGAGCGAATGGCGAGCGGTGGGTAACGGCGAGGGGGGCAGGGAGGGTCAAAAGAGGCGGCGAGGGAGCGGGCACGCGGAGGGTAGGGGCGGGGGGAGCGGATGGCATGAGGGGGCAGGGGGTGTGACTATGAAGGGGGGACCCGGGCAAGGGGTGTGTACCGGTCGGGGCACGGGATTGTCGTGGTACGATCATACCTCGGCTACTACGCCGGATCCCATCAGAACTCCGAAGCTAAGCGCCGGTGGGCGAGAGCAGTACTGGGCTGGGTGACCTCCCGGGAAGTCCTCGTGTTGTACCCATTTATGCCCCTTGCTCGGCACGTGCCGGGGAGGGGCAAGCGGGAAAAACAAAGGACGATTTTAGCGCGTCCGACTTTTTTATTTCCGTTTTTTTTGCCCGAACAACGAGTCAGCGGGGTGGGGGGCCCCCGGGGAGGCTTGCCCGCGCGAAGAAACGCCCCGTGCGCACCACCGTTGGGCGGTTGGAAGCCGCACACGGTCGCGGGGGTGGAGAGCGGAAACGGGCAGCCGGGGGAGGGTGGGGGCGGTTGGACGGGAGTGGGGTGTACGGGGGGCAGGGGAGTTGAGGGGGCAAGGGGAGGGGCAGCAACGGGCAGGGGCTGGGCCAGCTGAGGGCAAGGAAAAGGGGCGGGCAGAGGGTGAGCAGAGGGGCGAGCGATGCAAGGGATGCACCAGAGGGGGGGAATCCAGTTGAACGGAGGTGAGAGGTGAGGGGCGTGCGAGGGGGTGGAACAGGGGCAGGGAGGGGCAGAACGGGAGGATGTGGGTGGGGGGTGGGGGAGGGGAGTGTGTGTGTGTGTGTGTGTGCGAGAGAAAGAGAGAGAGAGAGAGAGAGAGTGAGAGAGATAGAGAGAGAGAGAGAGAGAGGGAGAGGGGGGGGGGGGGAAGGGTGGGAGGGGGGCTGGTGGTGGGGACGGGCTGATGGTGGTAAGAGGGCAGCAGGGATGGGGAGAAGGGAGCGTAACGAGGGGAAAGCAAAGGGCAGGGGGGGAGAAACCAAGCATAGGGGGGCGAGAAACGAGGGGCAGGGTGCGGATTGAGGAGGGGCAGGGAGTGGAGTGGGTTAGCGAGGGGAAGGAAGAGGCGTGCAGCAGAGGAGGGGAGGGGGGAGGCGAAGGTAAACGAGGGGAGGGCACGGGCGGGGAGGAGCGAATGGCGAGCGGTGGGTAACGGCGAGGGGGGCAGGGAGGGTCAAAAGAGGCGGCGAGGGAGCGGGCACGCGGAGGGTAGGGGCGGGGGGAGCGGATGGCATGAGGGGGCAGGGGGTGTGACTATGAAGGGGGGACCCGGGCAAGGGGTGTGTACCGGTCGGGGCACGGGATTGTCGTGGTACGATCATACCTCGGCTACTACGCCGGATCCCATCAGAACTCCGAAGCTAAGCGCCGGTGAGAGAGCAGTACTGGGCTGGGTGACCTCCCGGGAAGTCCTCGTGTTGTACCCATTTATGCCCCTTGCTCGGCACGTGCCGGGGAGGGGCAAGCGGGAAAAACAAAGGACGATTTTAGCGCGTCCGACTTTTTTATTTCCGTTTTTTTTGCCCGAACAACGAGTCAGCGGGGTGGGGGGCCCCCGGGGAGGCTTGCCCGCGCGAAGAAACGCCCCGTGCGCACCACCGTTGGGCGGTTGGAAGCCGCACACGGTCGCGGGGGTGGAGAGCGGAAACGGGCAGCCGGGGGAGGGTGGGGGCGGTTGGACGGGAGTGGGGTGTACGGGGGGCAGGGGAGTTGAGGGGGCAAGGGGAGGGGCAGCAACGGGCAGGGGCTGGGCCAGCTGAGGGCAAGGAAAAGGGGCGGGCAGAGGGTGAGCAGAGGGGCGAGCGATGCAAGGGATGCACCAGAGGGGGGGAATCCAGTTGAACGGAGGTGAGAGGTGAGGGGCGTGCGAGGGGGTGGAACAGGGGCAGGGAGGGGCAGAACGGGAGGATGTGGGTGGGGGGTGGGGGAGGGGAGTGTGTGTGTGTGTGTGTGTGCGAGAGAAAGAGAGAGAGAGAGAGAGAGAGAGGGAGAGGGGGGGGGGGAGAAGGGTGGGAGGGGGGCTGGTGGTGGGGACGGGCTGATGGTGGTAAGAGGGCAGCAGGGATGGGGAGAAGGGAGCGTAACGAGGGGAAAGCAAAGGGCAGGGGGGGAGGAAGGGAGGGGCAGGGAGGGAAGAGGGTGAACGTACAAAGAGGGGAAACGAGGGGCATGGATGGTAGGAAACAAGGGCAGGGGTGCGGGAAATCAAGGGCAGGGAGGGGAGAAGCAATGGGTGCGGGGAGAACAAGGGAGGGGCAGAGGGGGTACAAGGTGATCTCAGGGAGGGAAGAAACGTGGGGCAGGGAGGGGAGAAACCAAAGACAGGGGCATGGGCAGGCGGGGGCAGGGAGGGAGCAAAGGAGAGGCACGGAGAAAGAAAGGGAGGTGCAGGGAGGGGAGAAACCGGGCGTGGGGGGGCGGAAAATGAGGGGCAGGGCGGGGAGGAGGGAGAGGCAGGGAGGGGAGAAGCTGAGCACACGGAGGGGGGAAAGGTGGGGCAGGGAGGTGGGAAGCCAAGGGCAAGTGGAGGAGAGTGGGGGGGCAGGGAGAGGGGGGAGGTGGGGAGCGGAGAAAGGCGGCGAGGGGCAGGGAGGGGAGAAACCAAGCGTAGGGGGGCGAGAAACGAGGGGCAGGGTGCGGATTGAGGAGGGGCAGGGAGTGGAGTGGGTTAGCGAGGGGAAGGAAGAGGCGTGCAGCAGAGGAGGGGAGGGGGGAGGCGAAGGTAAACGAGGGGAGGGCACGGGCGGGGAGGAGCGAATGGCGAGCGGTGGGTAACGGCGAGGGGGGCAGGGAGGGTCAAAAGAGGCGGCGAGGGAGCGGGCACGCGGAGGGTAGGGGCGGGGGGAGCGGATGGCATGAGGGGGCAGGGGGTGTGACTATGAAGGGGGGACCCGAGGCAAGGGGTGTGTACCGGTCGGGGCACGGGATTGTCGTGGTACGATCATACCTCGGCTACTACGCCGGATCCCATCAGAACTCCGAAGCTAAGCGCCGGTGGGCGAGAGCAGTACTGGGCTGGGTGACCTCCCGGGAAGTCCTCGTGTTGTACCCATTTATGCCCCTTGCTCGGCACGTGCCGGGGAGGGGCAAGCGGGAAAAACAAAGGACGATTTTAGCGCGTCCGACTTTTTTATTTCCGTTTTTTTGCCCGAACAACGAGTCAGCGGGGTGGGGGGCCCCCGGGGAGGCTTGCCCGCGCGAAGAAACGCCCCGTGCGCACCACCGTTGGGCGGTTGGAAGCCGCACACGGTCGCGGGGGTGGAGAGCGGAAACGGGCAGCCGGGGGAGGGTGGGGGCGGTTGGACGGGAGTGGGGTGTACGGGGGGCAGGGGAGTTGAGGGGGCAAGGGGAGGGGCAGCAACGGGCAGGGGCTGGGCCAGCTGAGGGCAAGGAAAAGGGGCGGGCAGAGGGTGAGCAGAGGGGCGAGCGATGCAAGGGATGCACCAGAGGGGGGGAATCCAGTTGAACGGAGGTGAGAGGTGAGGGGCGTGCGAGGGGGTGGAACAGGGGCAGGGAGGGGCAGAACGGGAGGATGTGGGTGGGGGGTGGGGGAGGGGAGTGTGTGTGTGTGTGTGTGTGCGAGAGAAAGAGAGAGAGAGAGAGAGAGAGAGGGAGAGGGGGGGGGGGGAGAAGGGTGGGAGGGGGGCTGGTGGTGGGGACGGGCTGATGGTGGTAAGAGGGCAGCAGGGATGGGGAGAAGGGAGCGTAACGAGGGGAAAGCAAAGGGCAGGGGGGGAGGAAGGGAGGGGCAGGGAGGGAAGAGGGTGAACGTACAAAGAGGGGAAACGAGGGGCATGGATGGTAGGAAACAAGGGCAGGGGTGCGGGAAATCAAGGGCAGGGAGGGGAGAAGCAATGGGTGCGGGGAGAACAAGGGAGGGGCAGATGGGGTACAAGGTGATCTCAGGGAGGGAAGAAACGTGGGGCAGGGAGGGGAGAAACCAAAGACAGGGGCATGGGCAGGCGGGGGCAGGGAGGGAGCAAAGGAGAGGCACGGAGAAAGAAAGGGAGGTGCAGGGAGGGGAGAAACCGGGCGTGGGGGGGCGGAAAATGAGGGGCAGGGCGGGGAGGAGGGAGAGGCAGGGAGGGGAGAAGCTGAGCACACGGAGGGGGGAAAGGTGGGGCAGGGAGGTGGGAAGCCAAGGGCAAGTGGAGGAGAGTGGGGGGGCAGGGAGAGGGGGGAGGTGGGGAGCGGAGAAAGGCGGCGAGGGGCAGGGAGGGGAGAAACCAAGCGTAGGGGGGCGAGAAACGAGGGGCAGGGTGCGGATTGAGGAGGGGCAGGGAGTGGAGTGGGTTAGCGAGGGGAAGGAAGAGGCGTGCAGCAGAGGAGGGGAGGGGGGAGGCGAAGGTAAACGAGGGGAGGGCACGGGCGGGGAGGAGCGAATGGCGAGCGGTGGGTAACGGCGAGGGGGGCAGGGAGGGTCAAAAGAGGCGGCGAGGGAGCGGGCACGCGGAGGGTAGGGGCGGGGGGAGCGGATGGCATGAGGGGGCAGGGGGTGTGACTATGAAGGGGGGACCCGGGCAAGGGGTGTGTACCGGTCGGGGCACGGGATTGTCGTGGTACGATCATACCTCGGCTACTACGCCGGATCCCATCAGAACTCCGAAGCTAAGCGCCGGTGGGCGAGAGCAGTACTGGGCTGGGTGACCTCCCGGGAAGTCCTCGTGTTGTACCCATTTATGCCCCTTGCTCGGCACGTGCCGGGGAGGGGCAAGCGGGAAAAACAAAGGACGATTTTAGCGCGTCCGACTTTTTTATTTCCGTTTTTTTGCCCGAACAACGAGTCAGCGGGGTGGGGGGCCCCCGGGGAGGCTTGCCCGCGCGAAGAAACGCCCCGTGCGCACCACCGTTGGGCGGTTGGAAGCCGCACACGGTCGCGGGGGTGGAGAGCGGAAACGGGCAGCCGGGGGAGGGTGGGGGCGGTTGGACGGGAGTGGGGTGTACGGGGGGCAGGGGAGTTGAGGGGGCAAGGGGAGGGGCAGCAACGGGCAGGGGCTGGGCCAGCTGAGGGCAAGGAAAAGGGGCGGGCAGAGGGTGAGCAGAGGGGCGAGCGATGCAAGGGATGCACCAGAGGGGGGGAATCCAGTTGAACGGAGGTGAGAGGTGAGGGGCGTGCGAGGGGGTGGAACAGGGGCAGGGAGGGGCAGAACGGGAGGATGTGGGTGGGGGGTGGGGGAGGGGAGTGTGTGTGTGTGTGTGTGTGCGAGAGAAAGAGAGAGAGAGAGAGAGAGAGTGAGAGAGATAGAGAGAGAGAGAGAGAGAGGGAGAGGGGGGGGGGGAGAAGGGTGGGAGGGGGGCTGGTGGTGGGGACGGGCTGATGGTGGTAAGAGGGCAGCAGGGATGGGGAGAAGGGAGCGTAACGAGGGGAAAGCAAAGGGCAGGGGGGGAGAAACCAAGCATAGGGGGGCGAGAAACGAGGGGCAGGGTGCGGATTGAGGAGGGGCAGGGAGTGGAGTGGGTTAGCGAGGGGAAGGAAGAGGCGTGCAGCAGAGGAGGGGAGGGGGGAGGCGAAGGTAAACGAGGGGAGGGCACGGGCGGGGAGGAGCGAATGGCGAGCGGTGGGTAACGGCGAGGGGGGCAGGGAGGGTCAAAAGAGGCGGCGAGGGAGCGGGCACGCGGAGGGTAGGGGCGGGGGGAGCGGATGGCATGAGGGGGCAGGGGGTGTGACTATGAAGGGGGGACCCGGGCAAGGGGTGTGTACCGGTCGGGGCACGGGATTGTCGTGGTACGATCATACCTCGGCTACTACGCCGGATCCCATCAGAACTCCGAAGCTAAGCGCCGGTGGGCGAGAGCAGTACTGGGCTGGGTGACCTCCCGGGAAGTCCTCGTGTTGTACCCATTTATGCCCCTTGCTCGGCACGTGCCGGGGAGGGGCAAGCGGGAAAAACAAAGGACGATTTTAGCGCGTCCGACTTTTTTATTTCCGTTTTTTTGCTCCGAACAACGAGTCAGCGGGGTGGGGGGCCCCCGGGGAGGCTTGCCCGCGCGAAGAAACGCCCCGTGCGCACCACCGTTGGGCGGTTGGAAGCCGCACACGGTCGCGGGGGTGGAGAGCGGAAACGGGCAGCCGGGGGAGGGTGGGGGCGGTTGGACGGGAGTGGGGTGTACGGGGGGCAGGGGAGTTGAGGGGGCAAGGGGAGGGGCAGCAACGGGCAGGGGCTGGGCCAGCTGAGGGCAAGGAAAAGGGGCGGGCAGAGGGTGAGCAGAGGGGCGAGCGATGCAAGGGATGCACCAGAGGGGGGGAATCCAGTTGAACGGAGGTGAGAGGTGAGGGGCGTGCGAGGGGGTGGAACAGGGGCAGGGAGGGGCAGAACGGGAGGATGTGGGTGGGGGGTGGGGGAGGGGAGTGTGTGTGTGTGTGTGTGTGCGAGAGAAAGAGAGAGAGAGAGAGAGAGAGAGGGAGAGGGGGGGGGGGGAGAAGGGTGGGAGGGGGGCTGGTGGTGGGGACGGGCTGATGGTGGTAAGAGGGCAGCAGGGATGGGGAGAAGGGAGCGTAACGAGGGGAAAGCAAAGGGCAGGGGGGGAGGAAGGGAGGGGCAGGGAGGGAAGAGGGTGAACGTACAAAGAGGGGAAACGAGGGGCATGGATGGTAGGAAACAAGGGCAGGGGTGCGGGAAATCAAGGGCAGGGAGGGGAGAAGCAATGGGTGCGGGGAGAACAAGGGAGGGGCAGAGGGGGTACAAGGTGATCTCAGGGAGGGAAGAAACGTGGGGCAGGGAGGGGAGAAACCAAAGACAGGGGCATGGGCAGGCGGGGGCAGGGAGGGAGCAAAGGAGAGGCACGGAGAAAGAAAGGGAGGTGCAGGGAGGGGAGAAACCGGGCGTGGGGGGGCGGAAAATGAGGGGCAGGGCGGGGAGGAGGGAGAGGCAGGGAGGGGAGAAGCTGAGCACACGGAGGGGGGAAAGGTGGGGCAGGGAGGTGGGAAGCCAAGGGCAAGTGGAGGAGAGTGGGGGGGCAGGGAGAGGGGGGAGGTGGGGAGCGGAGAAAGGCGGCGAGGGGCAGGGAGGGGAGAAACCAAGCGTAGGGGGGCGAGAAACGAGGGGCAGGGTGCGGATTGAGGAGGGGCAGGGAGTGGAGTGGGTTAGCGAGGGGAAGGAAGAGGCGTGCAGCAGAGGAGGGGAGGGGGGAGGCGAAGGTAAACGAGGGGAGGGCACGGGCGGGGAGGAGCGAATGGCGAGCGGTGGGTAACGGCGAGGGGGGCAGGGAGGGTCAAAAGAGGCGGCGAGGGAGCGGGCACGCGGAGGGTAGGGGCGGGGGGAGCGGATGGCATGAGGGGGCAGGGGGTGTGACTATGAAGGGGGGACCCGAGCAAGGGGTGTGTACCGGTCGGGGCACGGGATTGTCGTGGTACGATCATACCTCGGCTACTACGCCGGATCCCATCAGAACTCCGAAGCTAAGCGCCGGTGGGCGAGAGCAGTACTGGGCTGGGTGACCTCCCGGGAAGTCCTCGTGTTGTACCCATTTATGCCCCTTGCTCGGCACGTGCCGGGGAGGGGCAAGCGGGAAAAACAAAGGACGATTTTAGCGCGTCCGACTTTTTTATTTCCGTTTTTTTGCCCGAACAACGAGTCAGCGGGGTGGGGGGCCCCCGGGGAGGCTTGCCCGCGCGAAGAAACGCCCCGTGCGCACCACCGTTGGGCGGTTGGAAGCCGCACACGGTCGCGGGGGTGGAGAGCGGAAACGGGCAGCCGGGGGAGGGTGGGGGCGGTTGGACGGGAGTGGGGTGTACGGGGGGCAGGGGAGTTGAGGGGGCAAGGGGAGGGGCAGCAACGGGCAGGGGCTGGGCCAGCTGAGGGCAAGGAAAAGGGGCGGGCAGAGGGTGAGCAGAGGGGCGAGCGATGCAAGGGATGCACCAGAGGGGGGGAATCCAGTTGAACGGAGGTGAGAGGTGAGGGGCGTGCGAGGGGGTGGAACAGGGGCAGGGAGGGGCAGAACGGGAGGATGTGGGTGGGGGGTGGGGGAGGGGAGTGTGTGTGTGTGTGTGTGTGCGAGAGAAAGAGAGAGAGAGAGAGAGAGAGAGAGGGAGAGGGGGGGGGGGGAGAAGGGTGGGAGGGGGGCTGGTGGTGGGGACGGGCTGATGGTGGTAAGAGGGCAGCAGGGATGGGGAGAAGGGAGCGTAACGAGGGGAAAGCAAAGGGCAGGGGGGGAGGAAGGGAGGGGCAGGGAGGGAAGAGGGTGAACGTACAAAGAGGGGAAACGAGGGGCATGGATGGTAGGAAACAAGGGCAGGGGTGCGGGAAATCAAGGGCAGGGAGGGGAGAAGCAATGGGTGCGGGGAGAACAAGGGAGGGGCAGAGGGGGTACAAGGTGATCTCAGGGAGGGAAGAAACGTGGGGCAGGGAGGGGAGAAACCAAAGACAGGGGCATGGGCAGGCGGGGGCAGGGAGGGAGCAAAGGAGAGGCACGGAGAAAGAAAGGGAGGTGCAGGGAGGGGAGAAACCGGGCGTGGGGGGGCGGAAAATGAGGGGCAGGGCGGGGAGGAGGGAGAGGCAGGGAGGGGAGAAGCTGAGCACACGGAGGGGGGAAAGGTGGGGCAGGGAGGTGGGAAGCCAAGGGCAAGTGGAGGAGAGTGGGGGGGCAGGGAGAGGGGGGAGGTGGGGAGCGGAGAAAGGCGGCGAGGGGCAGGGAGGGGAGAAACCAAGCGTAGGGGGGCGAGAAACGAGGGGCAGGGTGCGGATTGAGGAGGGGCAGGGAGTGGAGTGGGTTAGCGAGGGGAAGGAAGAGGCGTGCAGCAGAGGAGGGGAGGGGGGAGGCGAAGGTAAACGAGGGGAGGGCACGGGCGGGGAGGAGCGAATGGCGAGCGGTGGGTAACGGCGAGGGGGGCAGGGAGGGTCAAAAGAGGCGGCGAGGGAGCGGGCACGCGGAGGGTAGGGGCGGGGGGAGCGGATGGCATGAGGGGGCAGGGGGTGTGACTATGAAGGGGGGACCCGGGCAAGGGGTGTGTACCGGTCGGGGCACGGGATTGTCGTGGTACGATCATACCTCGGCTACTACGCCGGATCCCATCAGAACTCCGAAGCTAAGCGCCGGTGGGCGAGAGCAGTACTGGGCTGGGTGACCTCCCGGGAAGTCCTCGTGTTGTACCCATTTATGCCCCTTGCTCGGCACGTGCCGGGGAGGGGCAAGCGGGAAAAACAAAGGACGATTTTAGCGCGTCCGACTTTTTTATTTCCGTTTTTTTGCTCCGAACAACGAGTCAGCGGGGTGGGGGGCCCCCGGGGAGGCTTGCCCGCGCGAAGAAACGCCCCGTGCGCACCACCGTTGGGCGGTTGGAAGCCGCACACGGTCGCGGGGGTGGAGAGCGGAAACGGGCAGCCGGGGGAGGGTGGGGGCGGTTGGACGGGAGTGGGGTGTACGGGGGGCAGGGGAGTTGAGGGGGCAAGGGGAGGGGCAGCAACGGGCAGGGGCTGGGCCAGCTGAGGGCAAGGAAAAGGGGCGGGCAGAGGGTGAGCAGAGGGGCGAGCGATGCAAGGGATGCACCAGAGGGGGGGAATCCAGTTGAACGGAGGTGAGAGGTGAGGGGCGTGCGAGGGGGTGGAACAGGGGCAGGGAGGGGCAGAACGGGAGGATGTGGGTGGGGGGTGGGGGAGGGGAGTGTGTGTGTGTGTGTGTGTGCGAGAGAAAGAGAGAGAGAGAGAGAGAGAGAGGGAGAGGGGGGGGGGGAGAAGGGTGGGAGGGGGGCTGGTGGTGGGGACGGGCTGATGGTGGTAAGAGGGCAGCAGGGATGGGGAGAAGGGAGCGTAACGAGGGGAAAGCAAAGGGCAGGGGGGGAGGAAGGGAGGGGCAGGGAGGGAAGAGGGTGAACGTACAAAGAGGGGAAACGAGGGGCATGGATGGTAGGAAACAAGGGCAGGGGTGCGGGAAATCAAGGGCAGGGAGGGGAGAAGCAATGGGTGCGGGGAGAACAAGGGAGGGGCAGAGGGGGTACAAGGTGATCTCAGGGAGGGAAGAAACGTGGGGCAGGGAGGGGAGAAACCAAAGACAGGGGCATGGGCAGGCGGGGGCAGGGAGGGAGCAAAGGAGAGGCACGGAGAAAGAAAGGGAGGTGCAGGGAGGGGAGAAACCGGGCGTGGGGGGGCGGAAAATGAGGGGCAGGGCGGGGAGGAGGGAGAGGCAGGGAGGGGAGAAGCTGAGCACACGGAGGGGGGAAAGGTGGGGCAGGGAGGTGGGAAGCCAAGGGCAAGTGGAGGAGAGTGGGGGGGCAGGGAGAGGGGGGAGGTGGGGAGCGGAGAAAGGCGGCGAGGGGCAGGGAGGGGAGAAACCAAGCGTAGGGGGGCGAGAAACGAGGGGCAGGGTGCGGATTGAGGAGGGGCAGGGAGTGGAGTGGGTTAGCGAGGGGAAGGAAGAGGCGTGCAGCAGAGGAGGGGAGGGGGGAGGCGAAGGTAAACGAGGGGAGGGCACGGGCGGGGAGGAGCGAATGGCGAGCGGTGGGTAACGGCGAGGGGGGCAGGGAGGGTCAAAAGAGGCGGCGAGGGAGCGGGCACGCGGAGGGTAGGGGCGGGGGGAGCGGATGGCATGAGGGGGCAGGGGGTGTGACTATGAAGGGGGGACCCGGGCAAGGGGTGTGTACCGGTCGGGGCACGGGATTGTCGTGGTACGATCATACCTCGGCTACTACGCCGGATCCCATCAGAACTCCGAAGCTAAGCGCCGGTGGGCGAGAGCAGTACTGGGCTGGGTGACCTCCCGGGAAGTCCTCGTGTTGTACCCATTTATGCCCCTTGCTCGGCACGTGCCGGGGAGGGGCAAGCGGGAAAAACAAAGGACGATTTTAGCGCGTCCGACTTTTTTATTTCCGTTTTTTTGCCCGAACAACGAGTCAGCGGGGTGGGGGGCCCCCGGGGAGGCTTGCCCGCGCGAAGAAACGCCCCGTGCGCACCACCGTTGGGCGGTTGGAAGCCGCACACGGTCGCGGGGGTGGAGAGCGGAAACGGGCAGCCGGGGGAGGGTGGGGGCGGTTGGACGGGAGTGGGGTGTACGGGGGGCAGGGGAGTTGAGGGGGCAAGGGGAGGGGCAGCAACGGGCAGGGGCTGGGCCAGCTGAGGGCAAGGAAAAGGGGCGGGCAGAGGGTGAGCAGAGGGGCGAGCGATGCAAGGGATGCACCAGAGGGGGGGAATCCAGTTGAACGGAGGTGAGAGGTGAGGGGCGTGCGAGGGGGTGGAACAGGGGCAGGGAGGGGCAGAACGGGAGGATGTGGGTGGGGGGGTGGGGGAGGGGAGTGTGTGTGTGTGTGTGTGTGCGAGAGAAAGAGAGAGAGAGAGAGAGAGAGTGAGAGAGATAGAGAGAGAGAGAGAGAGAGGGAGAGGGGGGGGGGGAGAAGGGTGGGAGGGGGGCTGGTGGTGGGGACGGGCTGATGGTGGTAAGAGGGCAGCAGGGATGGGGAGAAGGGAGCGTAACGAGGGGAAAGCAAAGGGCAGGGGGGGAGAAACCAAGCATAGGGGGGCGAGAAACGAGGGGCAGGGTGCGGATTGAGGAGGGGCAGGGAGTGGAGTGGGTTAGCGAGGGGAAGGAAGAGGCGTGCAGCAGAGGAGGGGAGGGGGGAGGCGAAGGTAAACGAGGGGAGGGCACGGGCGGGGAGGAGCGAATGGCGAGCGGTGGGTAACGGCGAGGGGGGCAGGGAGGGTCAAAAGAGGCGGCGAGGGAGCGGGCACGCGGAGGGTAGGGGCGGGGGGAGCGGATGGCATGAGGGGGCAGGGGGTGTGACTATGAAGGGGGGACCCGGGCAAGGGGTGTGTACCGGTCGGGGCACGGGATTGTCGTGGTACGATCATACCTCGGCTACTACGCCGGATCCCATCAGAACTCCGAAGCTAAGCGCCGGTGGGCGAGAGCAGTACTGGGCTGGGTGACCTCCCGGGAAGTCCTCGTGTTGTACCCATTTATGCCCCTTGCTCGGCACGTGCCGGGGAGGGGCAAGCGGGAAAAACAAAGGACGATTTTAGCGCGTCCGACTTTTTTATTTCCGTTTTTTTTGCCCGAACAACGAGTCAGCGGGGTGGGGGGCCCCCGGGGAGGCTTGCCCGCGCGAAGAAACGCCCCGTGCGCACCACCGTTGGGCGGTTGGAAGCCGCACACGGTCGCGGGGGTGGAGAGCGGAAACGGGCAGCCGGGGGAGGGTGGGGGCGGTTGGACGGGAGTGGGGTGTACGGGGGGCAGGGGAGTTGAGGGGGCAAGGGGAGGGGCAGCAACGGGCAGGGGCTGGGCCAGCTGAGGGCAAGGAAAAGGGGCGGGCAGAGGGTGAGCAGAGGGGCGAGCGATGCAAGGGATGCACCAGAGGGGGGGAATCCAGTTGAACGGAGGTGAGAGGTGAGGGGCGTGCGAGGGGGTGGAACAGGGGCAGGGAGGGGCAGAACGGGAGGATGTGGGTGGGGGGTGGGGGAGGGGAGTGTGTGTGTGTGTGTGTGTGCGAGAGAAAGAGAGAGAGAGAGAGAGAGAGAGGGAGAGGGGGGGGGGGGAGAAGGGTGGGAGGGGGGCTGGTGGTGGGGACGGGCTGATGGTGGTAAGAGGGCAGCAGGGATGGGGAGAAGGGAGCGTAACGAGGGGAAAGCAAAGGGCAGGGGGGGAGGAAGGGAGGGGCAGGGAGGGAAGAGGGTGAACGTACAAAGAGGGGAAACGAGGGGCATGGATGGTAGGAAACAAGGGCAGGGGTGCGGGAAATCAAGGGCAGGGAGGGGAGAAGCAATGGGTGCGGGGAGAACAAGGGAGGGGCAGAGGGGGTACAAGGTGATCTCAGGGAGGGAAGAAACGTGGGGCAGGGAGGGGAGAAACCAAAGACAGGGGCATGGGCAGGCGGGGGCAGGGAGGGAGCAAAGGAGAGGCACGGAGAAAGAAAGGGAGGTGCAGGGAGGGGAGAAACCGGGCGTGGGGGGGCGGAAAATGAGGGGCAGGGCGGGGAGGAGGGAGAGGCAGGGAGGGGAGAAGCTGAGCACACGGAGGGGGGAAAGGTGGGGCAGGGAGGTGGGAAGCCAAGGGCAAGTGGAGGAGAGTGGGGGGGCAGGGAGAGGGGGGAGGTGGGGAGCGGAGAAAGGCGGCGAGGGGCAGGGAGGGGAGAAACCAAGCGTAGGGGGGCGAGAAACGAGGGGCAGGGTGCGGATTGAGGAGGGGCAGGGAGTGGAGTGGGTTAGCGAGGGGAAGGAAGAGGCGTGCAGCAGAGGAGGGGAGGGGGGAGGCGAAGGTAAACGAGGGGAGGGCACGGGCGGGGAGGAGCGAATGGCGAGCGGTGGGTAACGGCGAGGGGGGCAGGGAGGGTCAAAAGAGGCGGCGAGGGAGCGGGCACGCGGAGGGTAGGGGCGGGGGGAGCGGATGGCATGAGGGGGCAGGGGGTGTGACTATGAAGGGGGGACCCGAGCAAGGGGTGTGTACCGGTCGGGGCACGGGATTGTCGTGGTACGATCATACCTCGGCTACTACGCCGGATCCCATCAGAACTCCGAAGCTAAGCGCCGGTGGGCGAGAGCAGTACTGGGCTGGGTGACCTCCCGGGAAGTCCTCGTGTTGTACCCATTTATGCCCCTTGCTCGGCACGTGCCGGGGAGGGGCAAGCGGGAAAAACAAAGGACGATTTTAGCGCGTCCGACTTTTTTATTTCCGTTTTTTTTGCCCGAACAACGAGTCAGCGGGGTGGGGGGCCCCCGGGGAGGCTTGCCCGCGCGAAGAAACGCCCCGTGCGCACCACCGTTGGGCGGTTGGAAGCCGCACACGGTCGCGGGGGTGGAGAGCGGAAACGGGCAGCCGGGGGAGGGTGGGGGCGGTTGGACGGGAGTGGGGTGTACGGGGGGCAGGGGAGTTGAGGGGGCAAGGGGAGGGGCAGCAACGGGCAGGGGCTGGGCCAGCTGAGGGCAAGGAAAAGGGGCGGGCAGAGGGTGAGCAGAGGGGCGAGCGATGCAAGGGATGCACCAGAGGGGGGGAATCCAGTTGAACGGAGGTGAGAGGTGAGGGGCGTGCGAGGGGGTGGAACAGGGGCAGGGAGGGGCAGAACGGGAGGATGTGGGTGGGGGGTGGGGGAGGGGAGTGTGTGTGTGTGTGTGTGTGCGAGAGAAAGAGAGAGAGAGAGAGAGAGAGAGGGAGAGGGGGGGGGGGGAGAAGGGTGGGAGGGGGGCTGGTGGTGGGGACGGGCTGATGGTGGTAAGAGGGCAGCAGGGATGGGGAGAAGGGAGCGTAACGAGGGGAAAGCAAAGGGCAGGGGGGGAGGAAGGGAGGGGCAGGGAGGGAAGAGGGTGAACGTACAAAGAGGGGAAACGAGGGGCATGGATGGTAGGAAACAAGGGCAGGGGTGCGGGAAATCAAGGGCAGGGAGGGGAGAAGCAATGGGTGCGGGGAGAACAAGGGAGGGGCAGAGGGGGTACAAGGTGATCTCAGGGAGGGAAGAAACGTGGGGCAGGGAGGGGAGAAACCAAAGACAGGGGCATGGGCAGGCGGGGGCAGGGAGGGAGCAAAGGAGAGGCACGGAGAAAGAAAGGGAGGTGCAGGGAGGGGAGAAACCGGGCGTGGGGGGGCGGAAAATGAGGGGCAGGGCGGGGAGGAGGGAGAGGCAGGGAGGGGAGAAGCTGAGCACACGGAGGGGGGAAAGGTGGGGCAGGGAGGTGGGAAGCCAAGGGCAAGTGGAGGAGAGTGGGGGGGCAGGGAGAGGGGGGAGGTGGGGAGCGGAGAAAGGCGGCGAGGGGCAGGGAGGGGAGAAACCAAGCGTAGGGGGGCGAGAAACGAGGGGCAGGGTGCGGATTGAGGAGGGGCAGGGAGTGGAGTGGGTTAGCGAGGGGAAGGAAGAGGCGTGCAGCAGAGGAGGGGAGGGGGGAGGCGAAGGTAAACGAGGGGAGGGCACGGGCGGGGAGGAGCGAATGGCGAGCGGTGGGTAACGGCGAGGGGGGCAGGGAGGGTCAAAAGAGGCGGCGAGGGAGCGGGCACGCGGAGGGTAGGGGCGGGGGGAGCGGATGGCATGAGGGGGCAGGGGGTGTGACTATGAAGGGGGGACCCGGGCAAGGGGTGTGTACCGGTCGGGGCACGGGATTGTCGTGGTACGATCATACCTCGGCTACTACGCCGGATCCCATCAGAACTCCGAAGCTAAGCGCCGGTGGGCGAGAGCAGTACTGGGCTGGGTGACCTCCCGGGAAGTCCTCGTGTTGTACCCATTTATGCCCCTTGCTCGGCACGTGCCGGGGAGGGGCAAGCGGGAAAAACAAAGGACGATTTTAGCGCGTCCGACTTTTTTATTTCCGTTTTTTTTGCCCGAACAACGAGTCAGCGGGGTGGGGGGCCCCCGGGGAGGCTTGCCCGCGCGAAGAAACGCCCCGTGCGCACCACCGTTGGGCGGTTGGAAGCCGCACACGGTCGCGGGGGTGGAGAGCGGAAACGGGCAGCCGGGGGAGGGTGGGGGCGGTTGGACGGGAGTGGGGTGTACGGGGGGCAGGGGAGTTGAGGGGGCAAGGGGAGGGGCAGCAACGGGCAGGGGCTGGGCCAGCTGAGGGCAAGGAAAAGGGGCGGGCAGAGGGTGAGCAGAGGGGCGAGCGATGCAAGGGATGCACCAGAGGGGGGGAATCCAGTTGAACGGAGGTGAGAGGTGAGGGGCGTGCGAGGGGGTGGAACAGGGGCAGGGAGGGGCAGAACGGGAGGATGTGGGTGGGGGGTGGGGGAGGGGAGTGTGTGTGTGTGTGTGTGTGCGAGAGAAAGAGAGAGAGAGAGAGAGAGAGAGAGAGGGAGAGGGGGGGGGGGGAGAAGGGTGGGAGGGGGGCTGGTGGTGGGGACGGGCTGATGGTGGTAAGAGGGCAGCAGGGATGGGGAGAAGGGAGCGTAACGAGGGGAAAGCAAAGGGCAGGGGGGGAGGAAGGGAGGGGCAGGGAGGGAAGAGGGTGAACGTACAAAGAGGGGAAACGAGGGGCATGGATGGTAGGAAACAAGGGCAGGGGTGCGGGAAATCAAGGGCAGGGAGGGGAGAAGCAATGGGTGCGGGGAGAACAAGGGAGGGGCAGAGGGGGTACAAGGTGATCTCAGGGAGGGAAGAAACGTGGGGCAGGGAGGGGAGAAACCAAAGACAGGGGCATGGGCAGGCGGGGGCAGGGAGGGAGCAAAGGAGAGGCACGGAGAAAGAAAGGGAGGTGCAGGGAGGGGAGAAACCGGGCGTGGGGGGGCGGAAAATGAGGGGCAGGGCGGGGAGGAGGGAGAGGCAGGGAGGGGAGAAGCTGAGCACACGGAGGGGGGAAAGGTGGGGCAGGGAGGTGGGAAGCCAAGGGCAAGTGGAGGAGAGTGGGGGGGCAGGGAGAGGGGGGAGGTGGGGAGCGGAGAAAGGCGGCGAGGGGCAGGGAGGGGAGAAACCAAGCGTAGGGGGGCGAGAAACGAGGGGCAGGGTGCGGATTGAGGAGGGGCAGGGAGTGGAGTGGGTTAGCGAGGGGAAGGAAGAGGCGTGCAGCAGAGGAGGGGAGGGGGGAGGCGAAGGTAAACGAGGGGAGGGCACGGGCGGGGAGGAGCGAATGGCGAGCGGTGGGTAACGGCGAGGGGGGCAGGGAGGGTCAAAAGAGGCGGCGAGGGAGCGGGCACGCGGAGGGTAGGGGCGGGGGGAGCGGATGGCATGAGGGGGCAGGGGGTGTGACTATGAAGGGGGGACCCGGGCAAGGGGTGTGTACCGGTCGGGGCACGGGATTGTCGTGGTACGATCATACCTCGGCTACTACGCCGGATCCCATCAGAACTCCGAAGCTAAGCGCCGGTGGGCGAGAGCAGTACTGGGCTGGGTGACCTCCCGGGAAGTCCTCGTGTTGTACCCATTTATGCCCCTTGCTCGGCACGTGCCGGGGAGGGGCAAGCGGGAAAAACAAAGGACGATTTTAGCGCGTCCGACTTTTTTATTTCCGTTTTTTTGCCCGAACAACGAGTCAGCGGGGTGGGGGGCCCCCGGGGAGGCTTGCCCGCGCGAAGAAACGCCCCGTGCGCACCACCGTTGGGCGGTTGGAAGCCGCACACGGTCGCGGGGGTGGAGAGCGGAAACGGGCAGCCGGGGGAGGGTGGGGGCGGTTGGACGGGAGTGGGGTGTACGGGGGGCAGGGGAGTTGAGGGGGCAAGGGGAGGGGCAGCAACGGGCAGGGGCTGGGCCAGCTGAGGGCAAGGAAAAGGGGCGGGCAGAGGGTGAGCAGAGGGGCGAGCGATGCAAGGGATGCACCAGAGGGGGGGAATCCAGTTGAACGGAGGTGAGAGGTGAGGGGCGTGCGAGGGGGTGGAACAGGGGCAGGGAGGGGCAGAACGGGAGGATGTGGGTGGGGGGTGGGGGAGGGGAGTGTGTGTGTGTGTGTGTGTGTGCGAGAGAAAGAGAGAGAGAGAGAGAGAGAGAGAGGGAGAGGGGGGGGGGGGAGAAGGGTGGGAGGGGGGCTGGTGGTGGGGACGGGCTGATGGTGGTAAGAGGGCAGCAGGGATGGGGAGAAGGGAGCGTAACGAGGGGAAAGCAAAGGGCAGGGGGGGAGGAAGGGAGGGGCAGGGAGGGAAGAGGGTGAACGTACAAAGAGGGGAAACGAGGGGCATGGATGGTAGGAAACAAGGGCAGGGGTGCGGGAAATCAAGGGCAGGGAGGGGAGAAGCAATGGGTGCGGGGAGAACAAGGGAGGGGCAGAGGGGGTACAAGGTGATCTCAGGGAGGGAAGAAACGTGGGGCAGGGAGGGGAGAAACCAAAGACAGGGGCATGGGCAGGCGGGGGCAGGGAGGGAGCAAAGGAGAGGCACGGAGAAAGAAAGGGAGGTGCAGGGAGGGGAGAAACCGGGCGTGGGGGGGCGGAAAATGAGGGGCAGGGCGGGGAGGAGGGAGAGGCAGGGAGGGGAGAAGCTGAGCACACGGAGGGGGGAAAGGTGGGGCAGGGAGGTGGGAAGCCAAGGGCAAGTGGAGGAGAGTGGGGGGGCAGGGAGAGGGGGGAGGTGGGGAGCGGAGAAAGGCGGCGAGGGGCAGGGAGGGGAGAAACCAAGCGTAGGGGGGCGAGAAACGAGGGGCAGGGTGCGGATTGAGGAGGGGCAGGGAGTGGAGTGGGTTAGCGAGGGGAAGGAAGAGGCGTGCAGCAGAGGAGGGGAGGGGGGAGGCGAAGGTAAACGAGGGGAGGGCACGGGCGGGGAGGAGCGAATGGCGAGCGGTGGGTAACGGCGAGGGGGGCAGGGAGGGTCAAAAGAGGCGGCGAGGGAGCGGGCACGCGGAGGGTAGGGGCGGGGGGAGCGGATGGCATGAGGGGGCAGGGGGTGTGACTATGAAGGGGGGACCCGGGCAAGGGGTGTGTACCGGTCGGGGCACGGGATTGTCGTGGTACGATCATACCTCGGCTACTACGCCGGATCCCATCAGAACTCCGAAGCTAAGCGCCGGTGGGCGAGAGCAGTACTGGGCTGGGTGACCTCCCGGGAAGTCCTCGTGTTGTACCCATTTATGCCCCTTGCTCGGCACGTGCCGGGGAGGGGCAAGCGGGAAAAACAAAGGACGATTTTAGCGCGTCCGACTTTTTTATTTCCGTTTTTTTTGCCCGAACAACGAGTCAGCGGGGTGGGGGGCCCCCGGGGAGGCTTGCCCGCGCGAAGAAACGCCCCGTGCGCACCACCGTTGGGCGGTTGGAAGCCGCACACGGTCGCGGGGGTGGAGAGCGGAAACGGGCAGCCGGGGGAGGGTGGGGGCGGTTGGACGGGAGTGGGGTGTACGGGGGGCAGGGGAGTTGAGGGGGCAAGGGGAGGGGCAGCAACGGGCAGGGGCTGGGCCAGCTGAGGGCAAGGAAAAGGGGCGGGCAGAGGGTGAGCAGAGGGGCGAGCGATGCAAGGGATGCACCAGAGGGGGGGGAATCCAGTTGAACGGAGGTGAGAGGTGAGGGGCGTGCGAGGGGGTGGAACAGGGGCAGGGAGGGGCAGAACGGGAGGATGTGGGTGGGGGGTGGGGGAGGGGAGTGTGTGTGTGTGTGTGTGTGCGAGAGAAAGAGAGAGAGAGAGAGAGAGAGTGAGAGAGATAGAGAGAGAGAGAGAGAGAGAGGGAGAGGGGGGGGGGGAGAAGGGTGGGAGGGGGGCTGGTGGTGGGGACGGGCTGATGGTGGTAAGAGGGCAGCAGGGATGGGGAGAAGGGAGCGTAACGAGGGGAAAGCAAAGGGCAGGGGGGGAGAAACCAAGCATAGGGGGGCGAGAAACGAGGGGCAGGGTGCGGATTGAGGAGGGGCAGGGAGTGGAGTGGGTTAGCGAGGGGAAGGAAGAGGCGTGCAGCAGAGGAGGGGAGGGGGGAGGCGAAGGTAAACGAGGGGAGGGCACGGGCGGGGAGGAGCGAATGGCGAGCGGTGGGTAACGGCGAGGGGGGCAGGGAGGGTCAAAAGAGGCGGCGAGGGAGCGGGCACGCGGAGGGTAGGGGCGGGGGGAGCGGATGGCATGAGGGGGCAGGGGGTGTGACTATGAAGGGGGGACCCGGGCAAGGGGTGTGTACCGGTCGGGGCACGGGATTGTCGTGGTACGATCATACCTCGGCTACTACGCCGGATCCCATCAGAACTCCGAAGCTAAGCGCCGGTGGGCGAGAGCAGTACTGGGCTGGGTGACCTCCCGGGAAGTCCTCGTGTTGTACCCATTTATGCCCCTTGCTCGGCACGTGCCGGGGAGGGGCAAGCGGGAAAAACAAAGGACGATTTTAGCGCGTCCGACTTTTTTATTTCCGTTTTTTTGCCCGAACAACGAGTCAGCGGGGTGGGGGGCCCCCGGGGAGGCTTGCCCGCGCGAAGAAACGCCCCGTGCGCACCACCGTTGGGCGGTTGGAAGCCGCACACGGTCGCGGGGGTGGAGAGCGGAAACGGGCAGCCGGGGGAGGGTGGGGGCGGTTTGGACGGGAGTGGGGTGTACGGGGGGCAGGGGAGTTGAGGGGGCAAGGGGAGGGGGCAGCAACGGGCAGGGGCTGGGCCAGCTGAGGGCAAGGAAAAGGGGCGGGCAGAGGGTGAGCAGAGGGGGCGAGCGATGCAAGGGATGCACCAGAGGGGGGGAATCCAGTTGAACGGAGGTGAGAGGTGAGGGGCGTGCGAGGGGGTGGAACAGGGGCAGGGAGGGGCAGAACGGTGAGGATGTGGGTGGGGGGTGGGGGAGGGGAGTGTGTGTGTGTGTGTGTGTGCGAGAGAAAGAGAGAGAGAGAGAGAGAGAGTGAGAGAGATAGAGAGAGAGAGAGAGAGAGGGAGAGGGGGGGGGGGGAGAAGGGTGGGAGGGGGGCTGGTGGTGGGGACGGGCTGATGGTGGTAAGAGGTGCAGCAGGGATGGGGAGAAGGGAGCGTAACGAGGGGAAAGCAAAGGGCCAGGGGGGGAGAAACCAAGCATAGGGGGGCGAGAAAGAAACGAGGGGCAGGGTGCGGATTGAGGAGGGGCAGGGAGTGGAGTGGGTTAGCGAGGGGAAGGAAGAGGCGTGCAGCAGAGGAGGGGAGGGGGGAGGCGAAGGTAAACGAGGGGAGGGCACGGGCGGGGAGGAGCGAATGGCGAGCGGTGGGTAACGGCGAGGGGGGCAGGGAGGGTCAAAAGAGGCGGCGAGGGAGCGGGCACGCGGAGGGTAGGGGCGGGGGGAGCGGATGGCATGAGGGGGCAGGGGGTTGTGACTATGAAGGGGGGACCCGGGCAAGGGGTGTGTACCGGTCGGGGCACGGGATTGTCGTGGTACGATCATACCTCGGCTACTACGCCGGATCCCATCAGAACTCCGAAGCTAAGCGCCGGTGGGCGAGAGCAGTACTGGGCTGGGTGACCTCCCGGGAAGTCCTCGTGTTGTACCCATTTATGCCCCTTGCTCGGCACGTGCCGGGGAGGGGCAAGCGGGAAAAACAAAGGACGATTTTAGCGCGTCCGACTTTTTTATTTCCGTTTTTTT